AACGAATGCTTGCATGACGTTCACTCGCTGCGCGCTGGCTTCCGCGCATGTAAATTTTCGTGGCGCCACATCACGTTCGGCGTATTCACGCATTTTTTCTGTTTCCAATGACGTCAATCGAGTTCGCAAACAGCGAACTAGAAGACGTGACGGATGAGGCGTCTCCCAATCACAGCTTCTGGTTATCGATCGTGTGTGTTTACGTAGAAGGACGAATGTTCAGATCAGCAGGAGCGTATTGTTTTCGCCACTATTTAGCATATCCTCGTGCATTGTTTCAGCCTTCCGAGAGTGCATTGTGTTCACTGCTATTTATCACAGGCATGCTGTTTATCCTTTCGTTCGCATTTGCCTACGAGTTGCACCACATTCCCTCCCATATAGCGCAATCTGATGTTGTTCTCCACTTTTGGCCACCTGTTTGCCGACCCCTTCCGTTCCGCACCTTAGCGCCAGCGACCCTCCCGCCTCAGTCCACCGGCATCTCCGTTGACATCAGTGACGTCACAGCGGCGCCTCGACACTAACCACTGCTTCCTTGGTTTTCAGTTCGCCGAGATCCCACCTGAGAAAGGCCTGCGCCGCTGCAAGTGCTGGCTGCGGCAGGTGGCGCGCAAGGCGCGCAAGAACATCCTGCACCACAGCACACACGACTGCTCCATCCCGCCGGACTGCCGCGAGCAGCTCAAGCACATCTACGTCTACTGACACCGTGCCGACGAGGTGACGTCATACCGACACTGTGACGTCGCGCCGCGAGAGCACGTCGTAACGTGGCGGTGACGGGAAGAGACGGCCAACTGGTTGGCGTCGGTTAGGATCGGTTGGTGGGGTGACCTCGCGACGGACCGCGAAGTGGGGCTCGCCGACACCCAGCAGGAGCTCTTCGAGACAAGCAAGCGCTGCAGGGAGACCTCAGAAGTGCTTTATGATTACATTCTCACCATGAATGTCACAGACGTTCTCCAATTCTTGGTTGGCGTTTCAAACCTCTGCTCACTCTACATGGGACTGGCCGTCAGGCATCAGCTGCCAGGCATCGACCAAGAATCAAAAACGCCGCGGAGAAGCCCTTTGTTGGCTCATCAAGATCTGAAGCTGCACCGGCACTCCGCGAGCACTCCCTCCACAGCACTCCCTCCATTCCGCGAGTTATCAAACTCTGCGGCGAGCAGATCTTCAAGCTCTCAGACCCTGCGGGGCCCTGACTCCGTGTCGCGTCTCTGCACGGCCGGCTGCGTCAGGCCGACAGTGCAGCATCCAGTCCGGCACCCGGTCCGGCAGTCCAGTCCGGTGTCCGGTCCGGCGTCCGGTCCGGCACCTGTTTCGGCGGCGAATTCGTCCCCCAAATCCCTTGACCCAGTGCCGGCCAGGGTCGACCGGCCCCCTGCCGCGCCCGCTGGCAAGATCGACTGTCGTCACCAGCGCTGACCCGGCCACAGGTGGTGCAACAACTGTCTAATGGACACCGGTATGGCCTGTCGATCACAGGCGGGTCAAGCGCCAGGCGGCGAGGTAGGCGGTGAGAAATGGCGGGCGGAGACCGACAGCTGTGATAACGTGCTCGGTATGAGGTACCGGTGAGTGCCACAGGCGTCTGAGGGCTTCGTGTGGCAGGCCGGTCCGCGATGGCGGTTCAGCCCCCAGTGTCGCTGTTGCCAACAGCACCGGCTCCGGTACCGCTGTTGCCGACAGCATCATATCCAGTACCGCTGTTGCCAACAGCACCACATCCGGTGTCGCTGTTGCCAACGGCACCATATCCGGTGCCGCTGTTGCCAGGTGCCTCTGTTGCCGACCGGCGCTGGCCGGGCTGCGTCGGTAGCGGAGCCAGGGGCGGCCTCAGGCCTGCTCTCTCTGCAGGCGTTGCTATCGCGAGGTCCCGGGTTCTGGCGTTGGCTTGACCACCATTGTTATTCATCATATTGTGCGATGTAGCAAAAGAAAAGAATGCTATGCTGCCGCCAGCACTCGTCGGCCCCTATTTCTTCCCCCACTCCGACACCGCCCCTCGCCCGGGTTTCTACTCCGTGGCTCCGCCCCTCGCCCCCGGCTTCTCCTTCCTGGCTCCGCCCCTGACGCCACGGACGCCGCCGCCGCCCGTGGATACCTGTGTCGGCCGTGACTGATGGCAAGGATGGAGGGAGGCCGGCGGCGGCGGCACACTATCCAGCGTCGGCCGGCGCTGTCCGGCCCGCCACGCTGGGGCGCTGGCGGCGGGCGGCGTGCCGTCGTGCCCGTCCACATAAAAACACATTGCCGGGGCAAGGCAGAAAAAGGGTTTTGTATGAAGGGTCAGCCTCCGAAAAACGAGCCGAACAACCCGGTCGCGGAACTCTTTTGCTGTGGTCGGGTTTCCGACAGGGCGAGCTTTTGCCGCTGTTCGCCGAGAACGATGCTTGGTTCCGGATGCTATTCTGGCACGGGGATAAATCTGGCAGCACTGCTGGTTTTAATACCACAGGTCTTAGTCGAACCCCACCCTGGGAGGCACTCATAGGTCAAGGACATGCAGAAACGCGTTCAATAAGCAACGAGAAAAGGCGCCGTCCGCGCATATCCACTCCGTGAGGGTGTGACTGGGAGGCTGAGAACCACCTCATCCCCCACTGGTCCCGTCTGCAGGGCAGAGAACCATCACATCCCTTGTTGGTCCTTCTGCAGGGCAAAGGACCACCGCATCCCTCACTGGTCTCGTCTGCAGGTCAGAGGACCGCCACATCTCTCATTGGCCCTCTGGAGGGCAGGGGACCACCACATCCCTCACTGGTCTCGTCTGCAGGTCAGAGGACCACCACATCTCTCGTTGGCCCTCTGGAGGGCAGGGGACCACCATATCCCTCACTGGTCCCGTCTGCAGAGCAAGGGACCACCACATCCCTCACTGGTCCCGTCCGCAGGGCGGGGGACCGCCGCATCCCTCGCTGGTCGATCCAAATGCCGGCTGCGTTCCTTGGTGAGGACGCTCTTTCGCCGCGGCCACGAAATCGTGGCGATCATAATCTCACCGACCGCCTCCATCGCCAAGACCTGGGGCTCACCAGGAGCCCCGACAAGGACAGACACGAGCTGCTGGTTTTTGCTGTTACGCAACGCGCGCTTGTGTGCTATTCGGCGTCGCTTGTGTGCTATTCGGCGTCGCTTGTGTGCTATTCGGCGTCGCCCACTGGCAGCCATCTGTGCATGCGCATTCTTTGTCGAGCGATATCAGCCGAACGATATTTGGCAATGTGGCTGGCGTTCTTGCGATGAGCGTGGCTGTTTGACGCTAAGGCTGGCTCCCTCACGCATAAGGAATGAACGGTTGCGAACCGCACAGGCTTCTGGCGTCGCTTCGTTTTTAGGGCTTATCGTGTCATATGGCTTGAATACGCCAGCACCAGCCGTTCACACCACCGTTACGTGGAGTGATAGCATGTGAGGGGCAGAACACCACCAGAGTGTTTGTGTTCCATGTCATGGCCGTGTGCTCTCCATTGTGCGCCCGCGTGCTTGCACGCGCGACGGACAGCAAATGATGAAGTTTACTGTGTCAGTGTCGGTGTCAGTGTGTCAGTTGTCAGCCTCCACGAGGCGTGCACGGCGAGAGCGTGACTCGGCGGAACGCCGGGCCGACCCCCTGCGGGCTTGCAATCACAATGGCGTGACCCCCCCCCCTCTTGCCACCGTATTCAGATGCAGTTCTCCGGGAAAAGCTCAGTCCTCGCTATAGTTGACGTGTTTTTTCGTTCATGATCGTTGGCGCAATTGCGGTATTTGGGCGTGGTCGCGCGCGATATGCATGTGTAATGTCAACACTCGGGCCAGAGCTGGGTTCGCCGCAGGCGGCTGTTCCGTGCGCGCTCGAAAGTCGCGTTGGAAACTGATGGCCTGCTTCTCGTGGCGTGGTGGTACAGTTCGGAGGGCGTCCGTTAGTGCTTGTCTGTGAAATTTGCCTACGTGAAGTGATAGCATGTGATTTGTGACGCTCAAACAGGCTCATAAAAGATAGCTCATTAGCTCATGTGTCAATAAATCATTATCCCATGTGTCTAGCGTTTATCATTTGGTAGCACGGACAGGAGGCATGTGACGAGCGAGAGGTGGGTGGGGCCGCATCAAAAGTCAGCACGGGCAGAAGGCAATGTGAAGAGCAAGAAGTGGGTGGGGCCGCATCAAATGCCATTTTGCAGCACGGACAGGAGATATGTGACGAACAAGAGGTGGGAGAGGCAGCATCAAAAGTCAGCACGGGCAGGAGGCCATGCGACGAGCAAGAGGTGGGAGGGGCCGCATCAAAAGTCAGCACGGGCAGGAGGCAATGTGACGAGCAAGAGGTGGGAGGGGCAGCATCAAAAGTCAGCACGGGCAGAAGGCAATGTGAAGAGCAAGGGGTGGGTGGGGCAGCATCAAAAGTCAGCACGGGCAGGGGGCAATGTGAAGAGCAAGAGGTGGGAGGGGCCAGCATCAAAAGTCAGCACGGGCAGGGGGCAATGTGACGAGCAAGAGGTGAGTAGGGCAGCATCAAAAGTCAGCACGGGCAGAATGCGATGTGACTAGCAAGAGGTGGACATCGAAAGCCTACACCGCAAGCTGCCCCTTTTCCAGTGAATAGCCCCCCCCCCCCCCCTGTAGCTGAGGGTGTGACGCAAGGCGATGTGGGTGCTCCTACCCGCACCGACGAGCGCTGACGTTTCGTGACTGGGTCCGGAATCAGTCCGGTCTCCTTGCGTCCGCGACAGGTCTCCAAACCAGCTGGGCGCGGTGCGCTTGATGCCGCTCGCGCTGGTCGCAACGCGAGTCAACAGGCCACCGGCTGGCACTCACTGCGCTGTCGAAACTGCTGCTCTCTGGCGAATGATTGTCTCCTGATATGGTGGTGATCTATTACATTATTCATTGGATTCTGCCGCGCCAGCTGGCTTCTCATGTTAAATGACGTGAGACATTATTTTTCCTAATTAGCATAGATAAGAGCGCTAATGGTGTGTTTTGTTTAATTAATATCGGGTTAGTATCATGATGAGGACAATGATACGACCGGCCACACACCAACATCGCTCTCCGAGTTACCCAATTCATGTCATACCAGCGGCGTCGGCTGCGAAGCACGACCAACGGCGTCAGCTGGGAAACAAGACAAGTGTCGTTGGCTGCGAAGCACGACGCTGCGGCTTCTTCCGTGCTGTACAGCGTCCAGGTGTACGCGCCAGGCGACGTCGCTCAGAGTCCTTTGCGCAGACAATTGTTAGCTTTTCTGCACACGTGATAAGTGGAGCGGAGTCGGGAGCGAGCGTCTGACATTGCCAGTATTTGACGTCACCCGCATCTGACGTCACCAGTATCTGACGGCTCGGGCCGTTGAACGTAATCAAACTTGCCCCACACCACACAGTGGACGTCTTCGGGAAGAACTTCCAGAGAAATTCCAAAGGGCACTCGGAATCATAAACATTCGCAGGCCTTAGCTTCCTTCACGGGGCGTGTGACGTCATCAGCTGACGTCACCAGCGTCACGACATCGCACGTCGATAAAAGCCTAGCGTGGAAACGCAGAGAGCAAACCTCGAGCGCCCAATGGCGCAGCCCTGAGCCAAACACGTCACCAGATCCGGTGGTGCGCCGTGCCTGGTGAGCGATTTGGTTAAAGGAAGTGCCCATACTTGTACGGGTAAGACAACAATAATAGCCTTATTCCGCTTAGAAAAACCAAGGGAGTGGAGATATAGGTGTGCTGATATTTTGGCAGCGTGCCCTTATCGGAATAAATAGCAGAATAAATTTACTTCTGATATTAGTCAAATCTGCTGTTTACTTCTGCTTCTACTAACAGTAAAGTTTATTCCTGCTATTCTTTTCGATAAAAAGAAGAGCAGAAGCAAATTTGTCCATTCTCCTGGGTTTTCGATGAGGAGCAAGGCTATTACTTTTGTCTTTCCTTTGTGCATAATCTTCCTTCCAAATGCACTTAAAAACTCACGTAATATTTGTATGGGTTTTGAACTGAAATCGACATCATAAAATCATTCGGTGCTGTTCACAGCCCTGCCATTCTTAAGACCTAAATCCCCATATTTTCTCAGCTACACGCCCTTGAACATGTGCATGCTTTTTCTGGGAGCCTATTTCATGGTCACCCATGCATTCAAGACGCCTTCATAACGTCTCCAAATTCTGCCATTTCATTAGTGATGCTAGATCAAGGCCAAAAATAGCAGAATTGCCGAGTCCGCTCATATCTGGCGTTTGTGAGCACGATTTTTATATATAACGGCCGCTGCTCTTTATCAGTTGTGTGCAAGGTACGATGACGTAATCAAACAATGACACATTCAGGAGCATATTTACGAACGGAGACATTGTGTGGTCTAGAGCAGCCTTTTCACTTAAAAGCATACCCGTAGTTATATGTGAGCTGATTTCATCGCATCTGATGCTTACTTCACAATATTTAAATGTGAAGCATTCCCATTTAAGGGCAGCCGGCATCCAATAGCTACACTGTTGTCCAATCACGATGCCGCCACAATCGCCGCGCCGTACGGCTGACCGTGGGCTAAGCTGCGCATTCCAATGAGATCCGAGGACATCTTCCTTGTTAGCGACATCCGGGACGGCGAAATGACGAATAATTTAGTTCTTGATTTACACCTGTCGACGTGACGAAGTTAAGTGAAATGAGCTGTGGATGGGCGCTGTCACAGCTAACGACGTTCGGCTGAAATTTATGGCGTCATGTTTCTCGCGTCACTGATGCCACTAGTTTGGTAAAATAGCTTTTGTTCCCAGTTTTCGAAGAAAAAATATTGACATGCAGGTGCAGAATCCGTTAATAATTTGCAAACATGTGCTTTATGAACATATACGTATATATATATATATATATATATATATATATATATATATATATATATATATACGTAGGCAAAGACCACTACATGGCGTGGCATTTTCAGCCTTAGACAGCTTCCGGTAGCGTTTTTAGATCCTTCGTGCGTTACGTTTGCATCTTCGAGTCGGTAAAAAATCATTTCGCCGAGAGACAAGTGCCGTCTTTATGTATTGTCATTAGTTGTCGTTTCAGATATATTGTTTATTCATTCTCAAAATCAATACACAGCTTCTCAGCTAATGCCGGCAATTGACGCGCTTGAATAATAGCATAAAACACGAACATGCGAACATCATACTTCTCATTGAATAACACTCACAACCATTGTGCCTTGGTACAAACAGATCACGCTGCAGCCACACAGAATACACCACTCGCACTGGGCGCTGCGACTTACCACATCCAATATAACAAATCACAAAACTATATTCAACTAATGTACAGCCACTCCCCTGACAGTTGCCGCTGCCATGTTCGTTGTCGGTGTAATTTGTTTAGAGTGCCGCTTCTAGGAGATAATCCATAGGCTCGATTCATTTGCTGTTTCGTGATGGCGTGTGGACGTGAATACGAAGTACGTTCGCGATGTTGAGCCGTCTTTTGTGACGTGCTGATGCAAGAATTTCAGTCCTTTGTATGGGAATTTGGCAGGTGATGTACTATGTGTGCTATGGTCGAGTTGTGGACGCTCCTCTGGTACCCGCTGCGTGAGGGGCATAGTGAACCATCGCGACAAGGGTGTTGTAGTAACAATAACGCGGCACTCTGGACAAAGCCTGTAATGTTCGTTCGAACAAGGCAATTTTCTCGCTGCATTGATGTGCTTCAATATCTTTGCTATCATAGGGCTGGTTTTCATGAAAAAGCCTCACATTTCACGATTTTTGTGATATATCTGCTGCGCAGAACATTGCTATTGATTTATGCTAGGTAAGCCCTCCACATACGACATGACATATGTACATAAAACATCTATAAGCATCTATAAAACACAACACATCAAAGAGAGAGAGAGAGAGAGAGAGAGAGAGGGAGAGAGAGAGAGAGAGAGAGAGAGAGAGAGAGAGAGAGAGATATATATATATATATATATATATATATATATATATATATATATATATATATATATATATATCCATACGCATCTGTGTAACATCGAAAAAATATGAAGGCGGTACGAGCAGCCTTTTAAAGCCTTTTAAGTTAACATTGTACTCTGGATCCTTGCGCAATTGGGATTCTCAACCACCGTCTGCATCGTCGCCAGTTCTGCCTGGTGGCGGCGGGGGCGTCGGTCCGCGATCTGTTAACAATCCGGTCTCGGTCGTCTCGTCCACCTGCTCGGCATCGCTGTGGCGGCCACGCGCGGCCCGCCCACGTGCGACGACCCCGCTGGCTGGTTAGCTGACGTAGCCCAGTCGGTCCCGTTTGGCCGGTGGCAGCTGGGCTGACCCTTGCCTCTTCCCCTCCCCCACGCTCCACCATCAAGCGGAAAACGCGCCTAGTGTTGCTTGGAAGGTGAGGGGTGACGACAAGTGTTTAGGGT